AGTGGGGCTCGGGGGTCACTCCCAGGGGTGCTAGGGATAGCATTCTGACATGAGAAGCACACACTTACCTTTAGAGTTGGAGACTGTCTGGAGAGGCAACTCCAACTCTGAAGGAGAGGAGGAGTACAGATGGTCAGACAGGTTCCATGTGATCTTTTTAGAGGCCTTCCCGAGCATCCTATATTGGAGCCCTCACTCCCTCATCTTGCTGCGTGTGTAGTCACACCAGTGACTCCCCCAAGTGACAAGTGACTCTTGTCACTGTCTAACGCCAACCAGAATGTTAAACGCACGAGAACAGACAACACAACTGTTTTGTGTTCAGCACTGTGTGTCCGTTACTAACAATGTCTAACACTTCAGGGTTGCCAGCACAAAGGTGTGCTATATGAATAGGGAGGGACAGTTGGGAAAGAAGGCAGGATGACATCCTCTGGTTTGCTGCAACCTGGTTGGAATTGGAGGGTATCATGCTTGGTAAAGTGAGTCAGAAAGGAAAAGTCTGTCACTCACATGATCTCGCTTGTGTGTGAAATATAAAAGAAACAATGCCAGGAATTAGAGAATCTGCAATGGGAAAAAACCCTGAGATCTTGTCATTAGAAAAGCCAACTGAGGCAGCAAAGCATGGATGGGGGACAGGAGTGGAGGGTCATTGAGAGTCTGACAGGTGGGAGGGGGCGTGAAGAAGGAACACTGACAGGATAAAACCCCAAAGTGGAAGTTTGCAATCCACATTACCCCATCAAAATAAGAGAATAAAATGATGCAAATAAATAAAAGCACTTAGACTACTTTTAAAAAGAAAGTAGGAAAGGAGCAATCTTTGGAAGAAAGATGGGATCTCAGGGACAAGAGAGTGTATGGACAGTGGGCGGGCAGGGGTGTGAAGGGCAGGATCTTGGTTATTTCCAATGACGGAAAGAAGGTTCTGTCATAGCTCCTCTTACCAGCAGCTAGGCCTGTGCTCCTGACCTGACCAGCTCCTGCCACACTCAGACCAACTTGTGGGCCATAAAATAACCCTCACCTCCCAGTCCCGAGTTTCTGGGCGCCTTTTGGATCAGTCTTTTATGCCAGAGTCATATGTCTGTGACCACAAGTTATCCTCAACCCACATTCACCTTTGTAGCATGTTAGTCCGGTGAGCACCAAGTGTCAGATGGACACTCGGAGCTCACCAAGATCATGGCTGAACTCACCCAGCATCTATTTGTGATTGAGGGTGACATCAACTCCAGGCGCCTCCACCCATAAAACTGTCTGTGGTATTGAAAGCAAGCCTCATAAAATCTCCCCAGCGACAGGCATATTCTCACTTGGGATGCTGTGGCTGAAGAGATGAAGGCTGGATGACCTCTGTAGGTGGTCGCTTAGCTGACGGGCAGTAGAGGGCGCTATTGACACATGTGACGTGGTTATACATTGACGCCTTGACCCTGGTTACCTCGTCTGTGTTTACAACTTTGCACAGACACTTGGCCCTGGTTCCTAACACTGCATAGTTAACAGGTGTGCCAGGAGGAGAACGTGCCTTCCGTGGTGTGAAGGATAACATTTTCCTGGTTGGCGTCCTCCTGGCTGTAACTACTCTCCTCCACACCAACACTTTTTCTTTTTCAGTTCTCGCCGCGTCATTTCTCCTACAGGTAATTTCTGCTCTTTATCCCAAGGACCTATGCTCAGTGTTCTGAGAGTTCCTGTGTGAGAGGAATGTTGAATGTCTGAAATGAGAGAACTCTGGACCCATCCCTCATGCCACCCCTGGGCTTGAAGAAAAAACAAAAAAGACTCTAGAGTCAAGTTCAATTCTTCCCAGAGCTGATCAGAGATATAAAGGTTGGGGAAACTGCCCTTGGTTTTCCCTGGAAACAACCAACAACCGTCACTTGAAGAATAAAGTTACCCCCAGAAGTCCCCAAATTTCCATGCACCTGATATTGGGGCTGCTCACTTCTCAGGGATGGAGCAGGAGATCTGCACTCTCCACGCTCTGGGCTGCAGATGCAGGCATCCATGAGGGCACTCGGGTGCTCCACCCATCCCTGCCCAAGCACCAAGCCCCTGATCTGGGGTGCTCAGCTCACCATGCTGATCAGGAAAGCACTAAGAGTAAGATCCTCTCTGGGGTCTCAGACCTTCACTGTCCCCTCCCCCAAACTTTCCTCTCATTCTTCTGGGAAGGCAATGAGTTCCCAAGAAGCCCCTCATATACCAGGTGGTTCAAGGACTTTGCAATCTGATATCCAGACGGGCTGGGAACCAAGCAAAGGGGTTCCCAGGATGTCTTCTCCAGACCCCTAAACTCCCTTGCCCCTAGCAGCCCCTCAAGTTTTTTTGGGGGGGTGGGGTGCCAGAGAGAGGCCAAGAAACAAAGGTGGCTTTCACGCCAAGGAAGTTGAGAGGGGGACGACCCTGGCGGGGTCTCTAGCCCCCAAGCAGGGTGCTGGCCTGTGACTCGGAGCTCAAAAATGTGTGAAATTTCTTTTTGCTGGGTATTCTCCATCAAGCGGAACCTGTTCTCAGAGAAACATTCCATTTCACAGACCCTAATGGCTTTCCTCTGTGCCGATGCATTAATGAGGCTCCGACTCGTTCTAATCAGAAGGAAGCCATGCAGATAATTGCCTGAATTTTTAATTCGGGGTTATGATAGGGGAATCAAAGTCACACTGCAGTTGCTGAGGCTGCCTCGAGTTCCAGGCCATTGACTTTTGCAATTTTCTTTGATTTCCCCCTCCGTCTCTTTCCCCCCACTCTCTCTGTCTCTCTGTCTGTCTGTCTGTCTCTCCCTCTCTCCCTCTCTCACTCTCTCACTCTCTCATTTGATGGAGACTGACAGTTTCAGCTTGAGGCAGGGTAGACGAAGAAGGGACGCCTTGGGGTCTCCTGCACAGCCTTTCTTCCTCCTCCTCCTCCCCTCTGCAATCCCCTTCCCCTGACCCTGCTGAAGTGGATGGGGACCACACCTGTCCCCCCACCCCTGGCTGGTTCTGGGAGACTGCCCTGCAGCTGGCCTCCCCACTCAGGGTCTCCTGCCCATCAGCAAAAACAGGAAATTTGCCCCAGGAAAGGATCTCCCTTGGCAATTTATTTCTCTTTTCATCTCAGTGCTTCAGGGCAAAAGGGAGACTTGGAAGGGGACAAAATCAGGTGCTGAGAGCAGTCCACTGTTTTTCAGTTCCTGGCAAAGGCTGTAGCTCAGACCTGGGACCAAGGACTGGCAAGGATTGGCAGGGTAGGAGCGGGCGGAATTCCAGACTAGGACCTTTCCTGAATTGTCCACTGATTTTAACAACCACTGCAAACTAGCATTGTAAAGAACTAAGAAAGCTCTGAGCACTTACAAGTAGATGCCGACTGGTTGCATTATGCCACCAAGAAGTAAAATCAGCAAGGACCCGGAAGCTGGTCCCAGAGGGTCTACCCTATCTGGGCCATTTTGCTAAGAGTATCCAGGACTTGGGAGTGACAGAGACCTTACAAAGGTGAGATCTGGCCTTTCTGGCTCTACTCCAACCAGGCTAGCTGACTCATATAGCTGTGTGCTTCTCCCAGCATCCTTCAGGGCTGGCTAGAGCAACACTTGCTAAAGTTCGCTCTCTAAGTCAGCAGAGTGATACTTTTGCTCCAGAGATAGACTGCCGAAGAGTGGGGGCTCCAACCTCTCAGAATAGTGCGTCTTTCCCCACCTCCAGTTCCATCCACGTTCAGGATTCTTACTCGGAAGAGAGAGACGGTGTTGGCACCATGATGAAACATCTCTTAGGTGTCAAGAGTGTGATGCCATCATTCCACTGAATCCTGATTGGTGCCTTTGGAAGAAGAGATGACGCCCCCTCTTCTGCACAGGTCAGAACATTCGTGTTGACCAGAAAGAAACAGAAGTCTGGCTAGCCCCTGGGTCTCCCCTTCCAGGGGCAAAGTTTCTTCTCTAGAACCCAGAAGTCACTTAAAAAGTGCCTGCCCAGGACTCGGAAATGCTCCCGCCAAGGCAGTCTTCCAGCAGCAGGCTGCAGCGTGCAGAAATGATGAGGAGCAGTTACCTTTATTATGCTGGAATTTGCCCTCCTCGGGGTTTTGTTTCCTCAATAAAATGTCACCCCATGTGCTTGAATGGCACCCCTCTCCCAAGAATGCCCAGCCGCTTGCAGTTAACTCTACAGTCATCCAAAGAGCAAGGGATCAAGGGGTGAAGAGAAAACCTCTATGGACGTTTTATCTCTCTTGGCCCCCTAGGCCTCCCGTTGGCTCTCTGCTCTGGTTCCCCTATAGATCTGTGTGCAGTAAGACTCCGAAAAGCCCAGAGAATAGATCTATGCGGAGGGTACAGATCCCATTTGAAACTTGGACCCCTGCCCATCTCAAGCACTACTTTTTTTCTGAGCTCCCCGGAGACCCGGGCTGCTCCCTGAGTCCTGGGCATTCCAGCCCCAGCGCTGTAAACTTGAAGTTAATGATTAAACTGGGTGTCAGTGCCATGATTTCCTTGGAGGGGGGAGGTGGTGTGCAGGGCTGTTCAGCCCTGAAAAGTGCCAACTTCCTGGCGATGATCCAGCTCAGGGTGAGCCAGAGAAAGATCCAGCCCCAATCCCCAGATTTGGCTCAGATGCAAAATGGGTTGGAGGCTCCAACATAAGCATTACCAGTGCTCCTTTTGCAAACCAAAGGGGCCTGGTACGGTAGAAAGATGGGTGCAAAAGGACATGGAGTTATGGGGACATATCCAGGTTCTACAACTCACAAGCCAGGTGACCTTGGGACAGTCTCCTTACCACTCTGGGCTTCAAGTTCCTCATCTGGAACCAAAGAAGGGAAGGTCGGGCCAGCATGTGCCCAGCTCGCTCTTCCATGCAGGCGCCTCTGCCTGGCGTCCCCTTCCAAGCCTGCTGCCTCCTCACTGACCTTTCGGGATGCAGGTGAGGTGTCAGAAAACCTCCCAGCCCTCTGCCTTCAGGCTACTAGCAGCCTTCTTTGTTAGGGGGTGGGGTGTTGGTTAGGGGCCACACCTAGTACTCCTTGGCACCACTCCTGGCTCTGGGCTCTACACAATCCTAACCCCTGTGCCATCTTTCCAACCCCTACTTGTGCTTCCTTAAATCCTATTACACTTTGTAACTAACCCTGAGCCCAATGTCATTACTGCTTTGCTCGTCCCCATTACCGGCCCCCCTCCCCGTCCCCATAGACAGTGATTAGCTCATAGACAAGCTGTCACTTTCTATGCATAACCCGGTGGCTGGCACCAAGTGTGTGTCCAGACACTAAGTGCCATCCTCTCGGAGTCATTGTGATGACAGGAATTTACAGATTTATTTCTACCAGTGTGTTTTGTCTTTTCTTTTGATTTCTTTTCTTCTTGTTCATTTGTTTCGTGTGTTACCAAATTGACCATAGTTTTTTCTTTTGCTGTATTTGGTTCAGAGGTTTTACATTTGGCTTTCGTTTGGTTAACATAATTACTTGTCTTCATGACTTTAAAGTTATCAGTAGGTACCAGAGTTATAGCGGAGTTATAGTACAGTGGGTAGGGCACGTGCCTTGCATGCGGCTGACTCAGGTTTGATTCTTGATACCCAATTCTGTCCCCCTAGCCTGCCAGGAGTGATGTCTGAGCACAGAGCCAGGAGTAAGTCCTGAGCACTGAAGGATGTGACCCCCAAACAAACAAACAAATAAATAAATAAAGTACATCAGGATCTCTAATCAATTCCTCCCAAATATAAGAACAATAGAGAACTTGTCTAAGAACCTCTAAGAACAGGTTCTTGTTCTCTCCTAGTAGTCTAGTTTCATCTTATTTCCAAGTCCACCAAATTGACTCTTTTGGAAAATTGTGTAGCAGGCCAGAAAGATAGTACAGTGGTTAGGGCGTTTGACTAACTTGGATCAAAGGCCACCTGAGTTTGATCACCAGTACCCTATATGGTCCCCGAAACACACCAAGAAGGATCCCTAAGTATAGAACCAGGAGTAAACCCAGAGCACCTTGTGGGTATGGCCCAAAACCTAAAAACTAAAATTAAAAATGCATAGATAAAGCTGTACCATTTGTATATACTTGGTTTAATTTGTATTTGTTTTCACTGCTTTTTGCAATATCTAGCCTCTCATCTGGTCTCAAATCCTTATTATTTTATTTTTGGTTTTTGAGTCATGCCTGGGGCTGACTCCTGGTTCTGCACTCAGGGATCCCTTCTGGTTGACTCAGGGGAACATAAATGGTACTGGGGATCAAATCTGAGCTGGCCACTGCAGAAGGCTGTGCCTTATGAGCTGAACTATCTCTTTGGCCCCTAGTCCCCTTCTTGAAGTATTACCTTTACTAGTCCTTTCTGGTAATATTTTATAAATGTTATTTTGTCCTTACTCCTGAATAGTAATTTAGCCTGATATTAATTTTTGTTTTGGTGATTATTCTGAAACCTTTTTTTTTTTTTTTTTTTTTTTGCTGATGGAGATGTTCCTTCCAGTCTAACTAGTATTCTTTTTTTTTTCCCCTTTATTTTATTTTATTTTTTTTTAAGTTGTAGATTTACAATTTTTTGTGCTTTGGTTTCAATTATACAATGATCAGATACCCATCCCTCCACCAGTGCCCATTTTCCACCACCATGGATAATATCCCTCCCACCCCCATCCCCCCATCCCCCCGTCTCTGTGGCAGGGCAATCCCCTGTGTTCTCTCTCTCCTTTTGGGTGTTGTGGTCTGCAAAAGAGGCATTGAGTGGCAAACATGTTCAGTCCATAGTGTACTTTCGACATGCATCTCCCCTCCTGGGAGGATCCTCCAAACATCCTTTATTTGGTGCTCCCTTCTCTATCTGAATAGCCCTTTCCTCTAGGATACCCGGCTGGCCTCTAAGTTATGGAGTAATCCTCCTGGTGCTGATCTCAGCTATTCTTGGGTATTAATCTCATACTTTGTTACTTTATATCCCCCAGATGAATGCAATCTTTCTATGTCTATCCCTCTCTTGAGAAGGAAATATGTTGGGGTTTTGTTTGTTCAGTTGGTTGGTTTGGGGGCCACACCTGGTGATGCTCAGGGGTGATTCCCAACTCACTTCTGGTGGTTCCCAGGACTGAAACCAAGTTTCACTCATGCAAAGCATGTGCGCAGCCCATTGAGTTGTCTGCCCCAAGAGTATGTTTATATTTACCTTTAATGGTTTCCAATGTTTGAGTGTTGTTTTTACTGTATCATTTCTGTAGCTCCATTATACTGATATATGTGTGTTCGTGTGTGTATATGTGTATGTAATTGTTTTTATCTATCCTTCATGGACCTCTATATATCTTTTAACCTTTTAACTTTTTCAATTCGGGAATGTAGAGGTCTAGAAAAATTACCATTTCTATATTTTTCTAGACTCAAAAATCTCTATTTAAAATTATATGGAACTTGGGAAAGAGATAGTTACAGGATGTGGCATGTGGCATGTGCATGTGGCTCCAATGGCTAAGACCCTTATTTGGATACCAAGGACCACATATAGCCCTTTGAGCACAGCCAGGGTTACTTCTAAACACAAAGTTAGGAGTAGTGCTGAGCACTGACATGGTCAAATTCCTACCCTAACACACACTCCTGCCCTAAAGTATATGGAACCTTTCCCTTATACTTATCTCATGAATAAATTTATTCATATTTCCTTTGGGCTAATTTCCTCAGATGCATATTTTATATCACCAATGTTCTTTTCATTCATAATGATTTAAGCACCTAGCCAGTTCATTAAGATTTAGCTTTCAGAGAGAGAGAGATAGTAAGAATAAAAGTGCCTGCCACAGAGGCAGATGGCGGGGGTGAGGAGGGGGGAGGGAAACTGGGGACACTGGTGGTGGGAAATGTACACTAATGAAGGGATAGGTATTAGAACATTTTATGATTGAAACCAAATCATGAACAACCTTGTAACTGTGTATCTCACTGTGATTCAATTAAAAAACAAAGAAGGAAAGAAAGGAAAACAGCAAAAAATGAAAGTAAAAAAAAACAGATTTAGCTTTCAACTATCATGATTTCACTTTTGAAAACTCTACTTTTCAGATTTACTGATTCTTTTTTAACATTCCATCCTTGACTTTTTACTTCTTAAATATGTATACTTCACCATCTCTTTCAGAATGCTCCCTGGAAGCTACAGTTTTGTGAATACTAAGGTTTTTGTGAGTACTCCCACTTATCTCTGTTAACTTTCCCTGAGTTTCGTTTCCTGGTATAGTCTGTTACTTTTTATCCCATGCTCATCTTTGGCACAAGTTATCTTGGTGCAGTTTTACATACTATTCTCCAGGGCCCTAGTGAGTTTTCTCGTTTGAACTGGTTTTCTCTCGTACTGCCCCACCTGGATGTTATCAATTCAAATCCACACCCACGCAAGACATAGGCAGAAATGGACAATTTCTCATGGGTGTCTGCTCTTCCACCCAGAGTCCTTGGTGGGTATTGTAAATTCCCCTGGGTTGGTGAGCAGTTTGCTGGTCCCCATTCTTGGCGATGGTAACTCTTAATAGCAATTCATGTCTCATCTCTCTTATTCTCAGAGTTTCTTTCATGCCAGCATTCATCAATCAACCTTTCTACACCTACAGATGGAAACAGACCAGGGACTGGTGGTTGAAGAACATTGTTCTGTGCCTTTGTGGAGTCCCGATGCTCTGAGTGTCCCCCACCCAGAGTTTGTCTCTGAATCTGAGACCCAAATCAGCGATCATTATCTTGCACTTACTTGGTCCTCTAACTCTGAGTCCTTTCCTTTATTTCCTTATTGCAAGCTCGACACTGTATTTGGAAAATTATCATTTGCTTTGCTTAATCTAGTTTTTTCTTTGTTATTTATAGCAGAAATAAGCTCATATTGGTCCAGTTGTGTCTTTATCCAGAAATATCTAGTAAAAAAATTGATGAATGAATGATATTAAAGATTTTTTTGTTTCTAAAGTCTATAATTTGAAATATACTCACAGGAGAAACAGAAGTCCAAGAATGCTGATTATTTTCCAGATCACTCTGTGGAAATATAACAGAACCTGGTGCCACCAGTACACACACTTAACACAGACATTAAGGTTCCCCTCAGTTATACTTGCTGGCAACAGGCATAAAATATGCCTAAGTTTTTCATTCTTCAAAATGCAAGTAACAGGGCTGGAATAATAATACAGCAGGTAGGGTGTTTGCCTTGCAAGTGGCCCATCTGGGTTCAATCCCCAGCATCCCATATGGTCCCCCAAGCACTGACAGGAGTAACTACTGAGTGTAGAGCCAGGAGTAACCCCTGAGCATCACTGGGTGTGACCCAAAAAAAGCAAAAAGCAAAATGCAAGTAACTTTATGGACTGACCCTATTTCTAAAGTATCAAGAGGACTTTTAAAAGTGGAGTTTTGGGAGCCAGTGATAGTACAATGGGGAGATTGTTTGCCTTGCATAAAGAAACCTGGGTTTGATCCCTGGCATCCCATATGATCCCTTGAGCACTGCCAGGAATGATTACCAAGCACAGAGCTAAGTAACACCTGAGCATCACTGGGTGTGGCCCAAAAACAAACAAAAAAAGAAAACAAATTAAAAGTGAAGTTTTAGCAGGGGAGCTACACCCAGTGGTGCTCGGGGCTTACTCCTGGCTCTGTGCTCAAGGGTCACTCCTGTGGTGCTCAGGGGGCCATAAATGGACCAGACATGGAACTAGAGTTAGACCCATGCAAGGCAATGCCTTGCCCCTTATAATATTTCTCTCCAGATCTTAAAAATGTTTTTAAAGGGTTTTACAAATATGAGTTCTGTGTATTGTAGCATCCACGACGCTGCTAACAGTCCAGTGTTGATGCACCCCACTGAGAAACTTTTCTTCACAGGCACTAGAAATGTCCAAGGTTTATTGAAGGGAGACTCAATAAGGTCCTCAGAAAATTCCCATTCTTGCCTGAGATACAGAAGAAAATGTTTACCAACATCTGCCTTTCTTGAAGGTAGGATAATCATTTGCTGCAGTGGAGTAATGCACTA